AATAATTAATAGAGACTTGGCTGGTGTTTCTCCAGCAAATGTCTCTATAAAATGGATTTGGACCAATTCTCATCTATGCCATTTGAGATGAGAATTAAAAGGGACAGCAGGGTAGCCTGTGCTGTGTGTGGTGGGAGGAGGGACCGTGAGCTGGAGGCAGGACTGTGATTTCCTACAGTCTTATTGATCTATGTCCTAGCATAGGAGACAGTACTCAAAGCCCTTTCCTCTCATCATTGTGCTGAGACCCACCCCGGGAAACACTTTGCAAAGCTGAGAAGCTTAGATGCTGGGTAAAACCAAGAGGAGTAGGTCTTTTCCTTGCAAAGATAGGACTACCACTCCAGCAACCTTTTTTCCATGATTTTTTTTCCTATCTCCTTCCCTTCATCTGGAGGAATATAAGTCTGTGGCCCTCTTTAAAGGATGTGTGCTGGACACACATGGGCTGCAAAATCAACACATAGCTGGTGTTTGCTATTGGAAGAGATATTCAGTCTCTTGATTCTCCTTTGCTAACGAAGGCTTAAGTGCACTTTCTGCAGGCTTTAGCTGGGTGCTTTGTGTATCGTTTGAGCTGGGACTGTGCTTTTTGCCAGGGCCTGCAGGTCTCCCCAGTGGTCCTTTCCAACAGAGAATAAACAGTACTTTATTTGAAGCCTGCATAACCTTAAACATAGCTCATTCCTCCTCCTTCCTCCCTTGGGAAAAAGGGCACTGTGAGTAGAGCAGGGTCAGAACATCCCCTGGATGATCCCCAGGGGAAAATTCCAAGGGAAATTTCTGTCTCCAGAGACCCAGCATCTTCAAGAAATCTCAGGAAAGGTCTTGCTGTGTCTGTTTCTGAGATCTGCATCAATGCTTCTGTTGATCAGGGAGCAAGAACAAGCCATGGATCAAGTTATGGATACAAGTAGCATCAGCATTTCTAGTAGAGCTTAGCTTAGAAGAGAAAAGCCTTAAAAAAGAATAATTAAGGGCTAAGGAGGCATCAAGCTTTCAGAAGGCTCTGCTGGCATTTTCTTCTAAGTGGATGGCTAGGTTTCCATGAAGTGCTTTTTGGGGGGGATGAAACTACACATGGGGTGCTGGTTGTGGGATGTCTGGTGGTGATAACACGTTTGCGAGTCCAACTTTTTAATGATGGCTTTGGGTAATCTGGAAGCAAATGTGTGTAATAGAGGTGGAGGGAATTTCTGTCTAATCAGCCAGAGATGCAGGCTTTCTTTTTCCTCCCCCTTCCTCAGACGAGATGAATAGGTATGGTGCAGGCTTATGCTAACAAGTGCAATTTCACAGGAGTTTCATAGTCTCACAGCATCTATTAAGCTTATTGCAGAAATGCATCTTTTAAACATGAGTTACCTCTGTATTGTCTGATGAGAGAGAGGAGGCTTTTGTAAGCATGTGGGTAGGTAGTTCTGTGTCTCTGCTCCCACTGCCACACTGAAGGAGCTGAAATGAGCAGTTGAGGTGATTGGGGCTTGTGCTGGAGTGCACAGGATTTGCTGGCTTGTGAGCTGGTCATCAGCATACAAGACCTGAGTGCTTCAGAAAGTGAGATCCTTTTTCTTTGTACTTTTTTTTTGTTTGTTTGTTTGGGAAGAAGCCCATAACAGAGATGACCTTCTGATATTCCTTTTTTGTGCTTTTAATAATTTTGATGTGACTACTGCACAGCCTTTGAGCAACCTCTTTCTTGATCTTGCTATTTAACTCCAATAAGAGTCAGGGGCGTTGGTTCCATGAGTGAATTTTTGTAATATCTCTTAACTTTGTTATCATATATATATTTTGTGCAGAAGTAGTTTTGCCTCCTGAGTTTCCTTCTTTATTAAATTACCACATGACACAGACTAAAGGATGTCCAGACTGTGGGTTCACTGATACATGTGGCAAGTCAGAACTGTTGGCCGACCCTCTGTCTGCTTCTGCATTTAGGAATGGGAAAGGCTGTATGAGAAGTGTCTTCACCTGCTCTCTTGTTTTGCAGATACTGTAGCAAATGCTTCAGGTCCTTTACTAGTTGAAATAGCAAAGACTCCAGGTTCTACACTAGGAATCACACTGACAACAACCACACACCGGAACAAGCAAGTCATTGTCATTGACAAGATCAAGCCGGCCAGCGTGGTGGACAGGTACGGATCTTAAGAGTCTGCTCCTAGCTCTGCTTTTCCCTTCTCTGATGCTTTTTTGTCCTCTTGTTAGTTATATACAGTTAGTCCTCTTGTGAGTTATATTCTTCCCTGCCTTGCCTTGAAGTGGCCATGTCCATATCTTCTCAGCACTAAGTGTGCTAAAAATATCTGACCCAACGCTGGTGGACACTCCTCACTGGGAATGAATGTAACTCAGCGCATGTGAAAGCTGAGCTGTTTTAAAAACCTCAGATCTGAGTGCCCTGGCACTGTGGAATGGAAAACAGCTATTCTAGAGACTTCTGGCTAGAGTCTTTTCCTGATGGGCAAGTCAGCTAGTCACCCTTTACATGGGGATGCAGAAAGGCAGACCATTATGCAACCCTAGCTGTGGTTAGTTGTGTTGCTGAGCTGAACTGCTGGCTTGTAGGACTTAACTACGCTACTGGGTGGACTCTCAGCCACCCAGAGTAGCTATGAGTGGGCACGATTGAAAACTTAAAAGATCTTTCCCAAGCCATCAGCATCACTGACTCAAGCACAAACCGTCTTAGTTGGTATTTTGGGCAATGCTTGAACCTGAGGTTCAAATTGGAAATAAAAACATGATTGATATATGAAAAAAAAAAAAAAATTGACATGAATTCACCCAAAAATTCACAATTGGATTTTGTATATTTCTGCTCTCAACTTTAAGGACATGGATATTGACCATGTGTATAATTACCTCTCTGGCTGTTTCCTTCGCAGATGTGGTGCACTGCACATTGGCGACCATATTCTCTCCATTGATGGCACGAGCACAGAGCACTGCTCCTTATTAGAGGCAACTCAGCTTTTAGCTGCCACTTCGGAAAACGTCAAGCTGGAGATATTACCTGTTCACCAAAGCAGGCTGCCTTTGAAGCCTCCAGAAACAGGTGTGTCCTCTGTGCAAACACTGTTAGTTGCCCTCAAAACTCACTTGAGGTCCCTACTGGGCTTCTTGGCGCTTTTGAATACTGGCAACAGACTCCGAAGAGAGACATCTGTGGAGGGAAAAAAAAAAAAAAGATGTTTTGATGAAATGCATGTGATTAGATGACGTTCTTCAAGGATGTGAATAGGAAAAAAGGTAACATCTGTGTTTGAATGGGGAAATTGGAGTTGGGAATCCCAGAGTTTTGCAGTGCTGGGTGCTGTGCAAGCTGCTTCCTTAGTACCTCAGATAAGAGACTTTAATGGAGAGGGAGGAAAACAACCTTGGTGCCGATAAATGTATTTCCAAGCTCAGTTTTCTTTTGCTGATGCCTGGTAAGGCTTTGTAAAGGACACGTCAGTAGCTAGGCAGGGTCCTGTCAGACTTCCTTAGGAAACAAAGCTGTAACGTAAGTGTTCATCTTCCAGTCCAACCTGTTTGAACGGCAGCTGTGACTGAGCAGTCAGGGGTAGAGTGAATGCATCTGTAGCTGCTGCTTTCCACCACCCCCACCAAAGAAATACTGGGAAAAAATTCTGGCTCCAGTGAAATCAAGCCCAAAGTGCCTGTAAACGTCATCAGGAATTCACCCTGGTGAGCATCCTTGTTGCCCACCTTTAGCTTCTCCTTCCACATGAAAGGGAGACTCAGGCTCTCATATAAACTTCAATGTCAACACAGCTGCAGTACTAGCAGATTTGTTGCAACTCTTGCCTGCAGTTTTGTTACAGTCCTTACTGATAGTCTTGTAATTCTGATGTTTCAGGTGTGTTTGTTTGGTAACAGTCCCTTTTTCAACTATTTCCAATCACTTGTCTCTCAGGGACATTAATTTTAATAATACTGGTGCACAATAGCCCTGGGCACAGCTCTTCTTTCCATTCTCTTCTAGGACAGTTTGGGGAAAGGAAGAAAATATCTGTGTTGTGTTCTTTAACATGATGTGGTGAAACATAAAATCTAATAACATCTCCATGTCTAGAAATAAATCTCTTGCACGTCTTGTCCAATTCGTGCAGAATTAAAGTGGCTTCACAAAGGCGATGAATGACTTGACCTTTGTGCCCAAGAGAAAACAGAAAGCTATAATCCTTTTTCAATGGCTGTTAAAATGAGCTATTCTCCTCCTTCCATTAGTGCCCTGGTCCTAATCTCCTTTCAGAATATATGCATTCTGCAGTGGCTCAGGAGAAGGATCTGTGGAAGGACAGCTTGGTGTGTTCAAAACAACCTCCATACATCAGATCAGTTTACGGTGGCAGAAATTCAGAACACAAACTTAGGAGAACAGTTGTAATACAATAATATGAAAAATAAGGGATATAACAATTGTTCCCACTTTTGATTAAACTCTTTAACATGGAAAGGATGCTGTTCATCCACACAGCTGTTAGGAGGCAGAGGTGTGTGGTTGGAGTGGCAAGCTTGTGCTTACACCTTCACCAGTGCTGATGGGGATGGGAAAGGGAGGTGGTGGGGACAGAAGGGAGAGTGTTTTGGGCAAGAGGAGCAGCTCACAAAGCAATGCTCCTCAGTGGTGCAACCAGCCATGGCACTGTGCAGCCCATGGTGAGCAGCTGAGGACCAGCACCAAAGTTGACAAACTGTGTTTGAACCTCGGAGAGGCACTGCCTTCTGTTCCAGACACCAAATGCCAACTCTACAGGCTGCTTTTTCTGAGTTTAAGGAAACAAACAAGGGCAGTGAGGAAAAATGGGCCATGCAAAAGCAAACTGTTGTGGTTGGCAGGAGAGTGGAGCTTGGGGAAAGCAGTCGAGGGGAGCAGACCATGCACGCACATCCCTGTTCAGTGCTTGCGTTACTGAGCCCTTCCAGTGTGTGCCTGCATGAGGCTTGTCATGATATTTTTAAAATGTGGCTTCTTGTGCAAAATTCAGTTATTAAGGAGATGGAAAGGGATCTGAAGCTGCAGCTGCCATGCAAAAATATGGTCTAATGCTGAAGTGTGGGATTTGTCAAACTGAGTTTGCTTTCTCTGTGGCTCTGGGAACACTGGGAGAGTTTGTGGGAGGATCATGCCCTGCTCACGAGATCAACAGGAGCGGATGGTGCCCAGGAGCAGTGCTGGCATGGATGGGTTTCTTCAGGCAGGGATGATGTGCAAAAACTTGGGGAAGGCTGTTGTAGGTTTTTATCACAGAATTGTCCAAAATCTCTTCTCTTCCTCAATGCACTGACAGCTGAGTTTCAAAAGCACTTTTTTTCTGTTGTCAGATATGAGCTAAGAATTTATAGACAAATAGGAGATTTTTAATTACTATAAATGGATTAAATGATTTTGTATATATGCCTGTAAGCTCTGTCCCTCATGTTCAAAGTGTAATTTTATTAAGATCTTTCCTTTTTGTCAAGATATAGCTACATTTATTAATTTGATTTTTGTTTTTAAAAGCTGCCTGGCTCTGAATTTACTTTTGAACCCACAAGATAGAAACCTCAGAGCTGGAAGTGTATTTTTTAAAAAACTTGGTAGATTAAGTGCTAAACTCACTAAATGTTTAGCAAAGACTAAATATAATCACTGTATTGGTTGGAAAACCTGACCTAAATGATTTGATGCCTGTGATGCATGCACACAAAATGGATTTCCACTGTTAAATGCACTAACGAATGACATTTAGATGAGATCTCTGGTGGACTCACTAAATGAACTGAGTCCCTGTCCCATATTTGCACCTTCAGTAGTACCAGTGCTGGCAGCATTTCTGCCTACTTGGAGGACACAGAGCCTGGAGGAGATCTCATCCTGGAAAGGTGGTTGCCAGTCAGTGCAAGTGCTTGGGAGGTTAAGAGCTCTGGGATAACTCGTGGCTGCAGTGGAGGGATGTGGTTGATGATTAGCTAAACAAAGGAGATGCTTGCAATCTTGCTTGTTAGCCAACAATTCCTCTAGGAAGAAAATAGGTCCAGACAGCATGGTGAAGAGATTCAGGAGAGAAAACCCAGTGCTGCTGGGCAAGGAAAACCAAACTGACCCTGTGTTGCCCAGGGGCAAAAGGGGAATCAGTGAGAACAGAGAAGGGACCTGTGCCTGGGAGGGTGTTTGAGGCACTTCAGAAGAGACTTGTGGCATCATAACCTGATGGCACAAAACCACAGTTCCTGGGATAAGGGATATCCATATGATGGATGTGACACTGTGACAGATTTCTGCCAACATGTGCTGCACTGGGGTTAGGGTTGAAGCTAAAGCAGTTGTGTGGCCTTGAATAGAGTCTGTCATGTTTGTGCCACGTTTTAATTTACTGTTTGCCACAGTGTTGGCATCTTTTCCTGTGTCGGTGGCCCTCTGTAATTGCCTGTAAGTAGCGGTGTACAAAATCCCTTTTGTTCTGGTGAGCTGGAAGTGGACCTCTGCTGTCCCTCTCCTTCATCCATATATGCACCCTGCAATAGATTCCTGGCCAAGAGCAGCCGCTAAAAAAACAAACACTGAAGCCAAGCAAAGTGCTCAAAGCAGTCCTTGGCACGTGCAGAAGGTGTTGAGCCTCGTTCCTGGGAGGCCAGCTCCGGCAGGAAGCAGCACAAGAAGGTTTCCCCAGTGCTGCTGGATAACACTGATGGCCTCTGTGGGAAACTTGTAGCTGGAGGGAGCTTCTGCATGTCGTGCAGCCGACTGCAAATGGTAATGACATCTGTGTGCTGCCAGCATGGCTTAGTCAGGATGTTGGCTCAGGATGTGGAGATTTTTATGGGGAAGGGGTGGATTTCTGCCACTTTGCATCAAGTGTCATGAGGTTATGTGGGGATGCGTTTTGGCTGCTGGTGCTTGACACACTGTGGCTGGATCCGGACTTGTTCAGAGCCAATATGTGTCTCTTTTCTACAATCTCCTGGCTTATGCTTCTTGCCTTTTCTTTTTCTCACTTCTCCTCCCTGCCTGTGGTGATTTCTGCTCCCCTGGGTGCCATCAGTCAAGGTGCAGAAGAGTGACCACCACCACTGCTGGGACCCCTGTGTCAACTACTGTCACACCCACCACCCTGGGCACTGCAAGACACCCACTTGGAACCAGATGCCTGGACAGGATTACTGCAAATGTAACCTCGGCGTACAGCGTTGCCCCCATCCCTGTGCATGTTCATTGATGTTGTGTCCCTCCATTTCCTTAATACCCAACTCCACAGTCATGAGTGTCACTCATTTTCTCCTCTGTCACCTGGGTATGTTTTCACAGGTCCAGTGCTAGGTGCAAAAGCAGTATCTGCAGCCCAGCACGTGCAGATCTGGTAACTGCAGTGAGGGTGGTGTGCTGGTCAGACCCATGCTCCCATCCTTTCATCCCACCCCTGTGCTTTCATATGTGCAAGGGCAAAAATGAGTTGCTGTGGGACAAGGAGAAGCAGCTCTGATGGTGTGTAGGAATGGGATACACCAACACATCCAGCTCAGCCCCGGTGCAACACAGCAAGTTAGCAGCAGGATTACAGCTGCTTCAAAATCTGTCTGCAAGCACGCCTCTTACGGGGAGCAGGCACTGTTCAGCCCCAGGTTTCTTGTCTTGTCACAATAAGATAGGAAGGAGATGTTATACTGTGTGTTGAGAAGCAAACAGGGCAGCCCAGTTGCCCAGCAGCTCAAGTTCAAGCTGTGGTTTCTCCATGTATTTAAGGTTCATTAGAGCCATTGTGCCAACCTGCTGTTGGCTGCCCTGTATCCATGATGTGTTTCTCAGCTGGTAGCCTGGATGCTGCAGCAACAGGCAGCCCAGTCACTGCACTCCAGAGAGCAGTGTCCATCTGGAGTCCAAGCCCACTCTCACAGCTCTCCTGGAGAGAGCTGTGAGCCCAGGACAAGGTTCTCACCTTGTCTTGAGCCTTGGAGCTGGGAAGAAGGAGCTAGTCCAAACCTGTTAGGTGTTTGATGAACACCTGTTAGGTGGACCCGCTGCTGCACTTCTCTGTGCACATCCTTAACACGCTGTGTATTTCCCCAGCTCTGGTGGCTGCCAACTTCTCATCTCCTACCATGAACGCGCAGGGCTTCCCCTGTCAGAACTCAAACACGCTACCTCGCAGCTCCCACCCCATGAGCCCCCGCACCACCATGCTGAGGAGGAGGCAGAAGAAGAAGGAGCACAAGAGCTCACGTAAGAGTGGTGGTGGGCTGGGGCTGGGTTGGGTGGGGTGTGCATGCTTGCCTTACTGTCCTTATTGCTGACTGTTAGCTGGGGTAGGACTACTCATCTCAGCACTGTCAGTTCCTCCTTCATCCTTGGTCACCGTCCCCACCACTGCTAGGCTGAGGTCTGTGACAAGGTCTGCTATGTTGACCATGGATACCCTGACCTTCTGCCTCTCTCCTCCTCTCAGTGTCACTGGCCTCCAGCACAGTGGGTCCTGGCGGGCAGATAGTCCACACGGAGACAACAGAGGTGGTGCTCAGGGGAGACCCTTTGAATGGCTTCGGACTTCAGCTCCAGGGAGGCATCTTTGCTACCGAAACCCTGTCTTCCCCACCTCTCGTCCGTTTTATTGAGCCTGACAGCCCGGCAGAGAGGTTAGAGACCTTGCCCTTGGATGCTGATGGTGCTGCTCCTGAACATTTCATGGTTTGGTTTGTTTTCTCTCCTCAGAGGCTCATTTAGATATTTACTGTCATCCTTGTAATATCTCCCATTCTTCACTGGGCATGGTTTACTGTCACTGCCATTTCTGCACTCGTCGGCTGACCGCGGCCTCCCTCGCATCCCAGGTGAACATCTTGGCACCAGGCTGCGGCTGTTCTGGGAGGAGGAGGAGGAAGGGAGCGTGTGTCTGTGTGAGAGTGCCATTCCCATCATTTTTTTCTCTTTTTTTCCTTTCTCTTTGAAAGATAAAACTTTTGGCTGGGTTCAGAAAGGCGAAAGTTCTTAACAAGTGGGCCCAGCAGATTGTTTTCTGTTGGGTTTCATTGTAGCAGAGCCCAGCTATATCAATTGGCCTTAAAGCCAAGGTTTTGAACCACAGAGGAGGGCTCTGGTTGAGGAACTGATAGGTGCTGCATTTAAGCACTCTTGCTTTGGGCTCTATAATGCTGGGAAGAGAGCAGAATGGAGGAGTGGCATTACCTGCTGCTCGTCACCCCCTGGGATCCTGGGAGCAATGATTCCTCCGGCAGCCGAGCCTCAGCTCAGGAGCTCTGCCTTGTCTGGATAAACTTTTCCCAATACCCTTGCTGGCTGGATTTAAGTCTACACAAGTGCATGTGCACTACAATGTAGATGCCCTCTAGTAAGGTTTTTCATACTAAATGGACCAGGTCCCAGCACAGCTTGAGCTCTTGTGGGGCAGAAGGGAGAGCTGGTTTTGTTGGGCAGATGAAATAGTGAGAGGTGAGTGAGCTGGTAGTTATGTCCCTATGCTGGTTTCTCTTCCTGCCTGTGATTTCCACTGGTGGTCTGCCCTGCCTAGGGGTGCTGGAGGTGCAATGAAGTGGCAGTGCTCAGCACCTGCTGCAGACCTTTCCTTGAGAGAAGTCTCTGAGGGCCTTATCAGCATGTGCTGATGGTTGGTGTCCCCAGGCCAGCATGGGAAAATAGCATGTGGATTAAACCCTTGGAGAAGTAGTACGGTAGGGAAAGAAGGAAATGCAAGTCCTCACCGTGCAGACGGGTCTCTCTGTGTGGTAGGTTCTCCAGGTGGTCGATGTAGAGGCAGGGAGGCGCACTAGTGCCAGATGCTTGTCTCTGTGGGAAGGACAGGGACAAGCGGCTGGCACAGGAAAAAGAGTTGTCCTGAGTGATATAGGTTAAGCCTTCTAATACCTTTTTGTTTGTTTGTTTGTTTCCAAACAGGGTTTAAAAATGAAAGTGATGGAGTTTTGGTGTTTTTATCCCCTATTACTGGGGTGAATTTGGCTCGCATTGCAAAGCGCCAAACTCCTTTTATAAATCAGGCAGCAACAAAGCCTGCTGTCCCAGGGGAGGAGGGAGATGTGCTGAAATCTGCCTGGCTTTGCTTTATCCTCTTGCCAAGCCTGGAGCAAAAACGAAGACTTGCAGTGCAGTCTCACTTGGCTCTGATGTATCACACGCTGCTCTCCCCCTCGGCTGCCCACCCGGCAGGATTCACGCTCTCCTGGCTGCTGCCTTCTGCTTTCTGGCGACAGGGAGCAATCCTCTCTGCGTTTGCAGCCTGGATTTGATTTGGGGATTAAATCTCTGTGGTATATTTCTTCCTTTCCTAGACTGTGCTGCTCTTCCTAGCTGGCAGGAAAATGCTGTCTTTCCTCCCTGTCTTTAAGTGATAAGTGCACTACTGGGTTTGCAGCGAGGTGAAAAAAGCAGTTTTGTGTTTTCATTTCTCTTTTTGTTTCTTGCTATTCTACAGAGCTTGTTTGCTCCATCCTTCCTAGATCTCTTATTCCCTGCCCTTCAGAGGTTCTGCTGTAACTGCAGCCCAAGACATTGGAGCCATTTTTCTCCCCTTTACCAAGCCGAGCTCTCAGCTGAGGCTGGGCTATGCTCTTTCTTGTGCTGCAGTTGTCACTCGTTGCAGAAGAGGGTGGGTGGTAGGGATACAGGGATCATAGAATCATAGAATGGTTTGAATTGGAAGGGACCTCAAAGATCATCTAGTTCCAATCCCCCCGCCTTCAGCAGGGACACCCTCCACTAGACCAGGTTGCTCAAAGCCTCATCCAGCCTGGTCTTAAACACTTCCAGGGAGGGGGCATCAACAACTTCCTTGGGCAACCTGTTCCAGTGTCTGACCACCCTTACAGTAAAGAACTTCTTCCTAATATCTAATCTAAACCTGCCCTCTTTCAGTTTAAACCCATTTCCCCTTGTCTTGTCATTAGTAGCCCTTATGAAAAGTCCCTCCCCAGCTTTCTTGTAGGACCCCTTCAGGTATTGGAAGGCCGCTATGAGATCTCCCCGGAGCCTTCTCTTTTTCAGGCTGAACAGCCCCAACTCTTTCAGCCTGTCTTCATAGGAGAGGTGCTACAGCCCTCGGATCGGGCTCAGCAGCCTTGGTCTGTCCTGCATGTTCACACACTCCCATGGCAAGAGCTGTGAATCTGAAGGTGCGGTTGCACAAGGGCATGATCTGCAATCACTTTGTCCCTCTGGTTTGCAGTGGAGGAGCTGCCTCTTGGGTGTCTGGCAAATTGGAGTGCTACCAGGGAGGGGGACAGCATCACCCTTTTTTCAGGAAGGTTGGGCTGTCTCACATTTATTATCTGCTTTGTGCAAGCTTGTGGCAGGCGGTTTGAAGCAAAAGCTCTCACCTCCCTGACTTGTAATTTGTTTTACAGCCAATAGCCTCTAATAGATCTCCCTCCCCACCTGTTGTTTTGTTTCCTGGGTGCAAGATGAAGCCTTTGGGCTCAAAATGAGATAGCGATTCAGCCCCTCTTATCTGCAGGGAGGGTGGAATAGGAAGATGCCTGATGTCCCCTCTTGGCTTTCTTGAAACACACAGCTTTTGTGTCCTTCCTCCCCCAGCTGTCATTGACAGTAGTGGGAGAGTATCTGGCTTCTCCACCCCGGTATCTGAAATCAATGTTTCCTGC